GAGGACCTCTGCTTTAGATAGTATGAAATTCTTCATATTGATGGCTTTAACTCTAAGGGCTTATGGGCTGCCTTACTTATAGTTAAGGCTTTACATATAGCAAAGACCGGAAGGTAAAGAGCAGAGTTGAGCTCCTAGTGACTACATATGGGAAGATTATCCATGTCTTAAGTTTTCTTGGCAATACAAAAGTGGTGTTTCATTGCCATCTTCTGATGCGTATCTGTAACTTCCCAATTTGGTGTGCAATTCCAGAAGTTTCGGATGGCTTCTCAACTAAATACTAACCAGGTCTCAACCTGCTTTAAGATTTAAGATTAGCTTTAAGATTAGCTACTTCTATGGTGTATTTTCCGATGCATTTAAAGATGTTGCATGACTGAAAGGAACTCGATGTGATTCCGATGGACTTGGCTGAAAATCTTGTGTTTACATGGGACCGGGATGCACTTTGGAACCCAGAACATTACTCTCAGGTGATCCATGACGATTGTCCAGAAGCACCAGGCCAGAATGGATTATTCAGGAAATAGAAAACATTAATTTCTATTTGAAAACCTAGGGCATGATTAACAGAACAAGTATAGGTAATCCTCGGCTTACAGCCACAATTGAGCCCAGAATTTATGCTGTTAAGTGAATCCAGTTTCCCCCACTGACTTGGCTTGTCAGAAGGTCGCAAATGGGGATCACGTGACCCCGCCAGGGCGCTGCGACCGTCATAAATGTGAGTCAGTTGCCAAGCATCTGAGTTTTGATCACGTGACCACGAGGATGCTGCAATGGTCGTAAGTGTGAAAAAATGGTCATAAGTCACTTTTTCAGTGCTGTTGTAACTCTGAACAGTCATTAAACGAACTGTTGTAAGTCGAGGACTATCTGTAATCAGATTTTCCAGGTCTAGATACTAGTCAGCCCCTAGAACTATTCTTTCCCTGTGCTGAAAAGAGACCCAGGAGTTTTATACACAGAAATGACTGTGTGACTCTAATCTAGGCCTAGTCCAGGGGTCTTCAAACTTGGCCCTTTTATGACTTGTGGACTTCAACTCCCAAAATTCCTCAGCCAGGCACGCGTGCCTGGCTGAGGAATTCTGGGAGTTGAAGTCCACAAGTCATAAAAGGGCCAAGTTTGAAGACCCCTGCTCTAGGGCATTCCACATTCTGCATAAGATTCTGCTGTGACTGTGCTCTAATAGGCGCATAAAAATAACTAAACACCGCACCCACAACTTGCTCTTTGTATTCCAGCAATGACACTCAAGCCTTTTGCACCTGGCAACTCGGGATGGAAAAATGGTTCATGAGTCCTTTCGTACCAGTCGGTGATGTCTGGTATCACTCAGCTCTTTTATTACTCCAGCAATCCACTTCCTTGAATCGGCTAAAATAAACCGTCTGCATTTGTTGTTGCTCTGGTGTGGGATTTCTACGAGCATTACACTTTCACGATGGCTTGCACCTAGGAAATATTCCTGTTCGGGTATAACAACAAGCCAGAGACTGTAGGCAGATGGGTAAGAAAGAGCCTTAATAGAATGACTAGGAAATGAAAAAAAAAAAGAGAATCAGGAAAACACTGGAGAGAACTGAAAGTGCAAAGAAGGGAAGCAAAACTGGGGAAGCAGACGGGCTTCCTCGTTTCGACCTGTCATCTGCCGAACCACATAGGAGATTGAAAATGAACAATGCAGTTGCTGTAGGGAGCTAATTTGTGTGATTGTGTGCAGGGGATTTCTAGAATGTGGGCATTTTAAATTTTGTATATTGTATTGATTGTTTTGTTTTAAACTGGCTGTAAGCCGCCCTGAGTCCACCAGGAGAAGGGCAGGGTATAAATGTAATAAATGTAAATGTAAAATGTAAATTTGGCTTGGTGTGCACAATTAAAAGGTGGCCAGCTGGGGGCACTATTGTTCCAGGATAGATAAACAACTCTCCCCCCTTGGATTTCTACAGTTCCATTAAGTTTGTTTCTGCTGTAAACCCAATCAATTTATCAGGCTTCTGTTCTCCTTTTCATGTCTCTATCATTTCGGATGACAAGGGACAGATTCTCCGAATGAATTGGCTACAGAATCCCTCCTGATCAAAAACTAGTTTTCTTTAGGCTTGAAATGTCTGATTTTCCAGAGCATTCCGGTCACGAGCAGTAAGGCAGTTTTTTATACAGTTATTCACCAACGGGCTATGTGATGATTGCCTGTGCTAACCTGGATATACCGTATATACTCGAGTGTAGGTCGACCCGAATATAAGCCGAGGGACCGATTTTCCCACAAAGAACTGGGAAAAATTGGTGACCCGCGTATAAGCCGAGGGGGCATTTTGGCTGTTCCTCCCTGGCCGTCTCGGCCTCCCTAGCCCTGTCGGTGAGCGCCCGTCAGGGCGCAGCATCGCCAGGCCTCCCCCCTTCGGGCGAGGCATCTGGCGTTCCCCCTCGTGCTTGGCTGCGGCGGCCCGGGGTATTCCGTCCCGGCCTCGACACGCAGCGCCACAGGGAACGGAAGGTAAGGGGGGAGGGCCGTACCTGGAGCATCACAGGCCGGGGCGACGCCGGGAACGAGCTGGGCGGCCACGGTGGCGGCGGGAACGAGCCGGGCGGCTGCGGCGGCGGCAGGAACACGCTGGGCGGTGGCGGCGGCGGNAGGGGAGGGGGAGCGAGCGGCGAGCCGCCGTGGCTTGCCTGGCGGCGGCGGCGGCAGCAGCACCTGCTTCGAGACGCTGACTCGAGTATAAGCCAAGGGGGGCATTTTTCAGCCCCAAAAATGGGCTGAAAAACTCGGCTTATACTCGAGTATATACGGTATATCAAATCCCCCGTCTTTATTACCATCAGAGGCCAGCGTAAGCCCGGACACATTAGGAGAGGAAATTCAGGAGAAGGTTTAGTAGCACCTTTTCCAACTCAGCTTTTACGAATTGCAGCTTGCTTCAATCAGATGCTTGACACGACTGAATTCAATACAGGATTCAAAATTGGGATTTATAAACCGGATTATTTTGTCGCTACCAAAACAGCTTCTTTAAAATCGGTAATGGGAGTACCTTGGGAAGATTAGCGTGCTCTGATATTTCTCTGTCCTGATTGTTTTGAGACTGATACCAAGCTTAAAAATTAAATTCCCATTTAGTCTTTGTAGGCTTCCTACAAATGGTGTTTATGTGTCCATTGTGTAGTGTTATCATGACACTGAGGAAACTGACTCGTGCTATGGATAGGAAGGCTAAGGTTGACGGTGGGTGGAAGCTATTGAGGTCTTGATGGAATTTGATGATTCTTTCCCCATGGATCTCATTGATGAGAGTATCATCAATGAATCTGGATTAACGGAAGGATTTCAGGATTTAAGAATTGAGAAATTCTTTAGTCTCCATTGTTTAGGCCAGCCGTGAAGATCCCGGCATGCCGTGAAGTCATGTGTGCCCCTATTTACAGATAAAATCCACTGCCTTGGTGTCAGAGTGAAAACTATAATGGACACACAAACAACGTGTTTTACAGAAAACCTACAGATCACCATGGAGACACACACACACATGCTTCCAGATTCTACCCAGAATACATCACCAAATCAATTTTCCATAGGTTTTTACTCTATGCATTTGCTCTGACCCATTTGACAAGAGATGCTCAACTGATGGAATTAATCCAGGCATTCAGGAGACTGAACTGCGCGCCCAACAAGATCAATAGACAAATCAATAGAAGCAAATTGATTCCTAGGGAGAACCTATTAAAATAACAGAACAACAGAACACTGCTGGCTGTTATCTACATCTTACAGCTCAAGCCACTCAAAGGCATTATTAATAAGCTGCAAGCCACGCTTGGACACGGACGCTGCATTTCTTAGGCCCTGGGTGGCAGGGCTATATTTGCATACAGAACCCTAACCCGAAATAGATTTTCACAAGTAACCACAGATGAAGGAAGATAATGTGGGAACTAGCCTTGTACCCATCCCAGGAGACGAGTTAGCCCTCACATTTACCGACAGCATCATCACAAGACCTCAGAAGACTAGAGGACCACCAGGAGATTAAAAACTACAAAAAGTTTATTACCATTAAAACATTAAAACACCTAGCTTTCGCCGGCCTCCTGCCGGCTTCGTCAGGGTGGCTAGCCGTCAGTGGGATGGCTGTTTTTATAGGAGCGGTGCCTTTTGCACCCGGCTCCTAGATCTCGTGACCGGGCCCAGATAGTCCTCCTGCATTGGGTTCTTAACTGTCCTTTCGCGAGCTGCCACGCTCCTAACTCTCTCCTTCCCACCCCTTTTCTTTCCCTGCCTTGCTCGTTCGTCGGGAGGGGGGGGGAGGCATTCCTTCATCCAGGGTGTCGCTTTGTTGTTCGTTATCCCCTTTCTTCTTTTTCCCGGTTACCTTTTCCCCGGTTACCTGCGGCAGGAGGCCGGCGAAAGCTAGGTGTTTTAATGTTTTAATGGTAATAAACTTTTTGTAGTTTTTAATCTCCTGGTGGTCTCACAGTTTGTGATTCTTTGAATATGAATTTACCCAGGAGTCAACCTCCAATTTTTAGAATTTTAAAGGATATAGATATATATTTCTTCCTCCAATGAGATTCATATCATAATCGGTCAGCAATGGCTCTCTGAACTATGCTGGCTCAGGAATTCTGGGAGTTGAAGTCCATGAGTCCTAAAAGAGCCAAGGTTGCCTACCCCTGCACTAGAGAGTTCAAGGATGGGATAATAAAAACCGATACCCAAATGATGAATAAACACAGGACACCTGTAATTCTACTCTAGTCTACTAATACTAGAAATTATCCCCAAAGCTGAAAAGGATAAGGTTACACAGCCTCTCTCCTCCTCCCTCCCCCCCTCACAAACTGTTCCACCCAGAAGCTTCTGGCAGAAATTCTGCCTAAAGTCAAGATCCAAAGGTCAAAATCCATTCGCAAAAGACAAGAATCCTCACACACTTTCCTACCTAGGGAACTATTAAAAAGCGCCCAGGTCCAACGGTAACACTTACCGGGATGTGACATGTGGACCGTATTGTTGCCGTATTTTGCATAGTTATAGATGACAACGGCCACTGCACCCAGTTTAGCCGCCCGCTGTATCTTCTCCGTGAAGGTGCAGTTGCCTCTTGCGACGAGGGCAATCCAGGGCGACACAGCAGGGGCGAAATGAGTGTCCCACATACAAGCCTGGAGTTTCGAAGAATTGGAAAGCACAACCAGCCCTCGGGCCTCCGCCACGAGAGAATGGACTCCGAACATGCCACACTCACACCGGTTGTTGGTCGAGCTCTGGTTGAAAGCGTTGAAGTAGACTAAACTCACGTTGGCTTTGACGGGGCGAGTCTGGCCCTGGACGGCGCTGAAGAGGCCGGCGAGAATCAGGAACCATGCAGGGTTGGGTTTCCGCCCACCCTTCATCGCTCGGTGGCTTCCCAAATAATATCCGAAGCATAGAAAAACATTCGATTGCCAAGCGTCTCCTGTTCCTCTGCGTAATCTGAAATTACAATCCTCGGCAGGTAAGCAGCACCGCTCCTCCCAGGTCATTAGATCTTGCGTTGCGTCAGCTCAGTTCTCACTTTGCTTATCTCAAAGGAATAGAAGCGACCTGATGCTGGAGCCACAGGGCAGGAACTCACCCGGCTAATCTTCAACCCCATCCCTCGTAACTCTTCTGTTTTCCACACAACTGCTTTTTTTAACAGACGTGCTAAAGGCTAAAGGCTCCGCGGAGGTTTTGAGCGCCCTTCCCGACAAAGGCAGTTACAGGTGAGACGGGCGGCCTTTAGGGAAAAAGGCTGGCAAATGGCCAGGTCACCTGTTCCCATCTAAATAAACACAAAGGAATTGGGGGGGGGGGGAAGCCAATAATAATAATAATAATAATAATAATAATAATAATAATAATTTTTAAAAAAAGACAAAAAAGTCTGAATAGTGGATGTGGCAGTGCCTGGAGACAGCAGAATAGAGGAGAAAGAACTGGAGAAGATAACAAAATACAGAGACCTACAAATAGAAATAGAAAGACTGTGGCAAAAGCAAGCAAAGGTAGTACCAATAGTAATAGGCACCTTGGGTGCAATCCCAAAACTGGAGCTCCACTTGAACACTATCGGCATTGACAAATTCGCTATTAGTCAATTGCAAAAGGCGGCCTTACTAGGAACTGCTTCCATCCTGCGACGATATCTGTAATACCATCAAACATCCACATCTGCCTATCCCAGGTCCTGGGAAAGGACTCGATAGGTAGACAAAATGCCAAATCCAGTCTGAACATCTGGCTGACTGTGCGATGATCAATAATAATAATAATAATAATAATAATAATAATAATAATAATTCCGGTAGAATTTATCTATGTTTATTTATCTTCAAGTCATTGTTGACTTGGAGTGACAGCCTAGACTGGTCCTTGCAAATTTTGTTGGCAAGATTTTGGAAATGCTTTGCCATTGACCCCTTCTTAAGAGCTGAGAAGGAGTGACTTGGCCCAAGGTCACCCAGCAGGCTTTGTGCCTAAAGCAACACTAGAATTCAGTTTCTAGCCTGACTGGCTCCAATGTTATAGTTTTGCAAATATATGGGAGACACTTTAAATTAAGAAGCCAACAGATGTATCTATGTTAAGTAAGCCTTTTTTTAAAAAAAACAAAACAAAAACAAAACTCTGTTAATATATTAACATCAGTTTTATTTTAAAGGACTTTTTAAGCGAAACATCACTTCAAATGAATGTTATACATACAGTTTTAATATATCCCACTGATTTGGAGTGGCTCGAAGGCCCATCGTACTTTTTTGCACCAGTGTTTGAACGCTGAAACCCTATGTCGGCTCTATCCACCTTTTGCATCGTAATTTTCCAAAACTGCTCAGCATCTTCGCCCACTACCCATCAATACAATGAAACAGCAGCAGGAATCAGAGGAATTATTTGAGTCAAGACGTTGATATAAATGCGCTTATTCCAACTGAAAGCAACACATTAACACATAATCTCTCTTCCGGCACTACACACGATTGCATACTTGATAAATTTTTTATTCTTTGTTTCAGTGTACTTTTTTAAAAAAAAGACAGTAACAACTTAAAATCAATATATTTAAACAGAAGCGAAGTGGACGTTATAAATTGTTATACAAAAGTTTCAAATCCTAGAAAAAGGAGAAGATTTTGGCACCAAAGGGATCAAGTAGGCGTTTGTCAAACCTCACATTTCGTGATCGAAAGGGGTGGCTGGAATCACTGCCATGGTTGTTAATTTTAATATAGGGAAGGAAAAGCAGCAGCAGGAGACAAACTCAACAGCTTCTCTGGGGTCCTGTCAATAAACAACTGCAATATCAAAGCAATAGTGCCATACGTTATACCAGGGGTAGTCAACCTTGGCTCTTTTATGACTCGTGGACTTCAACTCCCAGAGTTCCTGAGCCAGCTAAGCTGGCTCAGGAATTCTGGGAGTTGAAGTCCACGAGTCATAAAAGAGCCAAGGTTGACCACCCCTGCGTTATACAAAGAAAGGACCGCTCGTTTCTGCCCAGTTACACTCAAAAGGCCGACTCACTTCTTCCAAATCTGAATACAGATATACACACACAGTCAACTTCCCTTTTCTGGGTGACTGGACTGCAGCTGTACTATGCCCGCTCTCAGACCACGTGATCAGATGCCACACGTCTGCACTGGGTACTTCGGCCTCCAGTGCAGTTCTACTTCATTTCCAGTCTATAACAAAAAAACCCAAATTACGACTTCTGATGGGAGTGTTTTGCCTTCCCCCACCCCCACCAGCTCATCTTCTGCGGAAGAGGCCGCAACTGTATATAATGATCAGCTGGCAGTGTAATCATGATCCACAGCTGACCGAGCAAATCTAAGGGCTTGATTACAGCCACGACACTCTTCCGCTGCGGCGTTTGTGCAGGCTCCACAAACGAGTTCAAAATATGAACTCTTGTCCTGGTTTTGCTTTCCTTTGTCCTTCATCCAAGCCCTCCGCAGACTGTCGGTGAAAGGCAATTAATGGGGCCACTTTTGAAGGAGGCAGTCAACTCTGCTTGACTGCCCTGTGCTAATTAAAGATGTTCCCTACCCACAACAAACTTTTCATAATCAAACTAGAAAGCAGAGGTAAGCAGCAAAAGAGCCACAGTCTTCCGATGTACGGTTTTCAGTTATCACAGGACAGGATCCGACTATCGGATGCATCGGATGTTTATCTTTTACTACTTTAAACTTAAAACAAAGGTTAAGAAAGCAATGTGTGTGCAATACTTGTTGCCAAAAAACCCTGATTTGAGAGGCAAGTAGTAGCTGCCAAAACACTTCTACAAAATTCAAGTATGAAAGAACCAGAAACATTCCTTAACCGCTGCTAAATATCCAAACTGCGGATAGGATAGCAGGAGAAAAACATTCCCTCGTAAGTTTAATCCTCTTCTCCGTTTACAATACGTTGACGTCAACCATGAACTATGTTTGGTTAACTACATCAACTTCTGTTATCTTATATATTTTCCTAAGAAAGACTTCAGTTTTGTCACTATTCAGGGGACATACGTCCAGAATACAGATGACACGTTGCTTCTCCAGGGCAGCCGTTTTGATATCATCTAGTATGCAAACAGATAACGGACATGTTACACATTTAGGAAAAGCAGTTACCCACTCACAAGTTTACCTTAAGATTAATCCCAGAACGATTGGGAACAAGAACAGGAAAGGAAAATAATTCCAACCCCAATAATGTGGCAAGCAATTACAACATAGGAAAAAACCTTGCCTAATATGCAAAGCAATCGTAGATACGGGCTACTTTTCAAACCACGTGAGAGCAGAAGTGCCAGCCGTTTGATTTTAAAACAAAATCCACAGATGAGAAGAATTAAAAAGAGGATAATGCCCTAATTTACAATTCCTAAAGTTAAACAATGAGTCACGAAACGACCCACTCCACCGCTAAAACCCACCGTTTTTGTTTTAAAAGAGCATTACAACTTCTTCCCTTTTCTAGAATTTGAAGGAGTGACAGATTTCTTATAGCTGCCTGTTTCCCAATATAAAAATCTATAGAAACAAAGTGACTGGCACCATAAAGATTTCTTCTTTGGATCTTCCATCATCTGGGGAATTTAGAAGTTCTTAATATAGCACAGAGAAAGCTGGCATTGATAATTTGAAGAGGATAATTTGCAAGCAACCCACACTCTGAGTTATAAATTCAAAGCCACTGAAGGCAAAAACACCCTGCAATGAAAATATATTTGTTTAAACATGCGGTCACCTTCTTTAAATTCTCTATAGCTGCCAAGATAAGTATTTTTAAAAACGGGAAAAAAAGAGGAAGGGGGAGTTTCAAAAGTATCTTTGCTGGATAATAGTGCTGGCTCCCTCTTTAGAAGGAAACAGATTGGTCCATCTAGATTTAAATTATTTCTAAGGTGAGAAGAGCACTAGTCAGCAAAACCCACAAGCTGGCTTTAAGGAAAACTGGTTAGAAGACAGCTCTACAGTGGAAATATTATGATTTGCGCTATCAGGTTGTGAACCTTAATTTGCAAGTGCTTATTTTTAGACACGTGACAACAGCCGTATACAAATCATTGTTATCGGGAAGATCCTACCTGGAAGTGAAAGTAACTCAGAAAGTCCTTCTTCGTTAATGGTCTCCTGGCAAGGTGAAGTATCATTTATGTGAGAAGGTCCTGCATTTTGTGATGTATCTTTGACTTGAAATAAGTAAGAGTCACTCAGGAAGGCAACCTCTATGGCTACATCGTGATTTATGCCTGTTCAACAGATATGGTACTTTTGTTAATACCAAAAAGCTGGGTTAACGAATTATACGATTGTCTTCAAGAATCTGGTCATCAGACAAAGCTTTAAGTCCAAGGGGGTCAAGTCTCATGCTTCACTGTCCAAAGCTGCAGGCAACTGCCTATCCAAACTTTCCTTGAAAGAATTTAGGGAAACACCTGCATCCCTAAACGGTTTGTTGTTCCGTTCGTCTTTCCAATGTTTTAAGTCAAAAGGAAATCAATGACAATGTGTCTCAATTTAAGCAGATAACCTGTCCTGAGTTATGTCTCAAAATATGAGCATAACTCTATTAAACAATTCACCCATGGTTTTTTTCATTATCTGCCTTCCTTTCAGATCACTACGGTACGTTTTAAACTGTTTCTATCATCGTACTTCTAAACTGAACAACAGATAGTAACTCAACCAGTGTTAAAATGGTAATATTCCCTGTTCTCCACCTACAGCTTGGGGCAGATCCAGATAGTGTCACAAATGCAGGCATGTTTTCGTTTTGCTTTTAGCACCATGCAAGTTTGGGTTTATGCTTGAAATTCCCTACTTTCAAGAATACTGTGTTTTACAGCCTCTTTGGCTATACCAGGGGTAGGCAACCTTGGCTCTTTTATGACTCGTGGACTTCAACTCCCAGAATTCCTGAGGAATTCTGGGAATTGAAGTCCACGAGTCATAAAAGAGCCAAGGTTGCCTACCCCTGGGCTATAAGGAAAAAAGTTCTTTGAGAGCTAGCCTGCCTTCTTTCCAGTTGCTCTAAAAAAAAACCTCATTCCCACACAGCAGCAAACACGAATCACATGCCTTGTAGCATTGTGTGGCATTGTCTTTTTTGTTAAGACACAACCCCACAAACATTCAAATTTCTAAGGGTGTCGAAGTTAGTAGTTACTTACCAAGAATAGCCACTTCATAGTATTCCAGAGGACAGGCATTTTCAAAGTGACTCATTTCTCCACTTGTTAGACACTCTTCTGGCTGGAATTTGGCTGCTTGAAGGTTGTATTGTTTCAATAAGGCTTCTTTGTGATCATAATTAAATTTACAAGGGAAGCTTTCTGGGGAAATCTTGCTGAAGTTCAAGTGCTGTGCCAGGTTGCCTTTTACCGTGGTCCAGAGAACACTTTCCCAGGAAGAGCAGCGCGTCCCTTGTGGGTGAACTTTTTCAGATGCATCAGCTATTCCTTTGTGCCCTGCTAATATAAAGACAGTAATCTGTAATCCAGAAAATTTTTAAATATCTTTTGAGCACCTCAGCTCCAAAAGGGCTATTTGACCAGGAAAGGCATTCAAAACAGCAAATCAGATGAACTTCTTCAGCTTATCTAAGGGGAGCTCCTGAAGTTGATGTATATTCTATAGCTGAGACAAGGGTGTAGTCTTTCTAGTTTTGTGATAAATTCACTATATTTATATTCTATGGCCACTGACATATAGAGCAAATGGTGTTAATCCAAAGACCAAAAAGAGAGAAGCACAAATGCTAATGCTAATACATAAAACCACAAGAAGTACTAATGCAATGGATAAATGCAATTCAAATTAACCTTTATTTTATTATATAGTCCTTCATAAACAAGTTGCTTAATAGCTCCTGACATAAATCTAGCCACTAATATGACAGGTCATTATTAAAGAGTAAAGTACATACTACAGTTGTATTAATAGATTATTTTTTTATGACTATGAAAACAAATTATTTGATAGTTAATTGAATGATTAATGCATTGTCTATTCTGCTTTAGATTATTTTTATACAGCCTCTCATTCATCTTTAATTTGTATAATAGAATTAATTCCAAATGGCAAAGGGCATGAGATTATGTGATCCAAAAAGCTGCATTGATGAAATGAATGCAAGTGAATAATGCAAAAAGATGCATTAATGATATCAAGGAAAGTCTAAACAATTGGATTATGTGTCACTTGCAGTGCAATTTGGAAGCAGACATCCTTTCAAGATGAACACTAACAGCAATGCAGCAGACTTCGGTTGTTGGGTAATACCAAGTTGTCATGGCATCGGAGTTCTCCTCCTGATCCCAAGGAACCATTTGGCTTTTAAAACAACAACAACTCTACAGCTTAATTTAGCTGTTTTGTATACTAGATCGGCATACCAGATTAACATATGGCAAAGTAACCAGTAGGGATCTAAAAGATGCATCCTAAATCACATTGCTAATCACATTCATCAGGAAGTACAACCTTCGAACCTCATAATATCTCCCTTCGACCAGTCCGCTCCCACAGAGAGGGCCTCCTTAGGGTGCCGTCGGCCAGTCAATGCCGGCTGGTGACCCCCAGGGGGAGAGCCTTCTCTGTGGCAGCTCCTGCCCTCTGGAATGACCTACCCCCCCGACCTACGTACAACTGCGGACCTGCGCCTCTTCCGCCGAGCCTTGAAAACCCACCTATTCCACGCAGCCGGCCTGGCGTAGTTTTGATTGGGCTTTGCTAGGGGTTTTACATGGGGTATTTTAGAGCAGGCTTTTTATTCAATATTTATTGTGATTTTTATTATTGCCTGTTCACCGCCCTGAGTCCCGTAAGGGAGATAGGGCGGTATATAAATTTAAATAATAAATAAAATAAATAAGTAAGAAGGAATCAATCTGGAATGAAAAACCAAGGCTGATCTCTTCGAGGCAATGTCACTACTACGTCTCCTTCAATAAGCACCAAGAAGCTAAGCAACACAGACAACTAAAATTTTTATCTAGGCAACCATGTAAATATATATATATATCTGATATTAACGTATTAACAATAACATCAAAGATGGAGAAAGCACATTACTACTATTTGCTTTCTACCCCAGCTTACTGGAATGTAAAAAGCCGCTACTAATATAACCTTCAGAAACAAAGTACATACTGTCATGTGTTTGTGCTGTTTCCATCACTTCTGCATTGTCGTCCTCTTCATCGGAGCTATCTTGCAAAAAACGGTGCAACCTTCAAAATTTCAAGCAGACTGTCACTGAGAGCAGCAAAATATCGGATCGTGTTATCAAAGGAAGTATGACACAGCTGGTATGTGTATCGGAGAAGCACCCAGGAAAGGGGATTCCCCATCCTTTCCATATAATTTCCCTGCCCTTCCCCCTGCTCCAAAGCTACTATTGGTCTGGCTGGGGAAAACCAGATCCCAGGTGAGTCCCTAATAGCTAGTGAGGAAGGCAGAATGAAGCACCAGCATCTACTGCCAATTAGAATAGGACAAAAATGATGAGAAACATATGATGACATTGTCACAGAAACCCCACTCTTTCATATGGGCATCCTGACGTCTGACCCAAGTTAGTGTTAATTTACAGCATTTATGCCACAACAGACTTGCTCCCTTTGAAGACAGATGAGCAAAATACCTAGAATGAAAGCACTCTCACTCCTTACAGTTTAAAGACATCCTCATTTTAAAGGAAGACTCTCACATTCCACCATTATTTGCCTCGATGGGAAGACTATATTCCTCTCCCCATTACAGTCTAGCAATGGAACCACGGATTTAGTTCCTTTTCCACATTACGAGCTGTACAATATACACAGCAGATCCTTTGCAAAAAAACTGGAACTAAAAAAAAATCAAAATTGCTCGACAGCAAAATGAAGTAAGTCACCACTTTAAAAAAAAAAAAAAAGCAATGAAATTATGAAGAATTGGCCACTTACATTCTTTTTTTGCTTGTTGACCTTGTCACATATGAAGGCTGAGAAGACCCTGGAGAATGATCCGCGGTCCTTAAAAATAGAGTTAACAAGCTTCAAATTTATTTGGAGGCAATTATTTTACAATAAAACAACTTCTTTACTGTGAGCTCAGATCACATAATTATGCTCCAAAGAGAATCAAAACGCTTCCATCTATTACCAATTAATTGGTGGCGGATGTGTGTGTGTGAGACATGCCAAGAGTCAAGGGAGGTGTTTTCCAAATTTTTGACACATCAAGGCCAAAAGGTTTGCCATCGTTGGACTATAACATAAAATACACAATTGCCAAAGAAACCAGAAACTATTCCACTTAAAGCAAACACTTCCTTACTCAACAGTTGCAATCTGTCTCTTTGCACAACTCCTGGTTACTATGCTTCGTTGCTCCAGAGGTGGTGACTTCTGCTGAGAAGTTGATTCTCTCTCTTGCTGGTGCTCTGACAAAGTACGTACTGAAGACCTTTTCTCAATCTACGGAAATAATTTTAAATCAAATTTACACACTGTCTACCAGTTAGTATTTTCCATATTTTTTATAAGCTAGATTCAGTTTCATCACCAGAAACAGCAGGATCAATTTAGCAGAAAAAAAACACAACACGATCTTAACTAAGATATAAAGTTCTGTCTCAAACACCTTTCCAATTTATTCCCACTGCTTTAATCCAATAATGTAGAAACTGTGACATATGTCAAGATCTTTCTTAAAAGGTCACGGTATCACGGAAGCTTAAACTATAACTTTCTAATTTTACACATGTTCAAAATAAGAGAAAAATAGTTAAGAAGTCATCATCGCTACAGGTTCTTTAAATCCAAATACAGAATATTTCAGTTTTAAGTGCTCAGCTATTAATGCTGAAGTACCATACCTGCATTGGTGATTCTCCTGAGGCATTCTGGGAGGTACTGTTACAGCTGACACGTCTTATAGCACTAATTATCCCTTGAAAAGCAATGTGCTTCTGTTCCCTGTAGTGCAAACTGTCAATCTCCTTGCCAATATCACTGATGTATATCAAAACTAATTCTTCTGAAATGCAATTTTTAAGAAAGAGAGCACCAAGTAAGTACAGGTACGGGGTGTGTAAAATTCAGATGGCAAAGAATGTAACGTGGTTATTGTTGTTAAACTGGCACAGCATCAATCTGAATAAGTTCACTTTGCAAACAATTGAGAAAATCCGGCTTATAGTCTGTCTCAAGTATAACAGTGAACTTCAATTAGACGACACCATATAGCATCACTTAAAATTCAAACACCGTATCCAGCTTTTTTTTTTTTGACATGGAACTAAAATAAGACTTCAGTTAAACGACTGGTCTTACAAAGTTTAAAAGGGGATGACGAGTGAAGAATTGTTACGCTTTGCTACAACCTCACCTGATGACAAATTCTCAGCATCTATAAATATTTCCCCTGGGCACAGTTGCACAGAAATATTTTGTCTGCAAATAATAAAGGCTACTCAAACTTGGCCGGCACGTTTGAAGCTACAGAAGGAAATGGCGTACCATTCATATTTTTACAATATTCTGCAAACGTAGGTGGGAGCGGCGGGAAGGCGTAGTATCCCCCAATGACGACCTTGTCTGCGTAGGCAGCTTCCTCTTGGCTTACCATCCACTGGATAAAGTTTTTCACTTTTGGAACTTTTCTATAGGGCTGGCCCTTGTGCCATCCTACGTTGAAGAAAACAAGACAAAAAGGCACGGCAGCTGTAATTAAAAGATTAAAACAGGTATTTCATAGGCTCTCAACATCAAAGTGGGTTTGTCTAGATCAGGGGTAGGCAACCTTGGCTCTTTTAGGACGCGTGGACTTCAACTCCCAGAATTCCTGAGCCAGTTCTGGGAGTTGAAGTCCACGAGTCCTAAAAGAGCCAAGGTTGCTTATCCCTGGTCTAGAATGTCACGGAATTTCTAACGGCAAATGGGGGTGTAATTGTTGTGGTTCAACCAGGCAGGCAGGCAAGAGGCAGACCGTGTATTTCTAAAACCACTGAAGAAAGTCACCAGAGGTTAGGACCAAGACTTACAACCCTTTGTTCTAAGTTACAACCGTGACTTATGGCCGTTTTTCATACTTAACGACCACGGCAGCATCGCCATCAAAATTTGGACGCTTAGCAATTGCCACGTATTTATGACCGTCGCAATGTGCTGGGGGGTCTTCTGATCCCCATTTGTACCCTTCCCGACTTCCGTCAGGCAAAGTCAAGGGGGGAAGGGGGCAGGTTCGCTTAATGACTGCATGATTTACTTAACAACTGCGGTGATTCGGTTAACAACTGCGACAAAAAGGTTGTAAAATGGGGCACTCCGCTTAAAAACTGCCTGGTTCAACATCGAAAATTACGGGCTCAAAACTGGGGTCATAGGTCAAAGGATTACCTGGACGTACCACAGGACCAATGGATAAAATTCAATTCTTACTCCGGAGAATTAATAACCTTTATGAAGCTCCTGACATAATTTCTACAATACAGAGCTGTGTTGTTAGGCTGGATTGCTACAGATATGGAAGGTAAGGATGTCTCTAATATAGTCAAATGTACTTCATGCCGCTATCAATGAAGATACTAGAAAACCAGCTCTTGTGATGACTTTTCAGTCTACCCTCAGTCGGTAAATACATTCAATTATTCAGAGTGTCAACATATTTTGGGATACAAAAATGCCAGTGCTTTGTTTGTTTCAACACAGCACCCAAAACATATTGTTGATATTAAAATAGCATCAAATAAGAACGCACAAGGCTGTCACTCTTGAGAAATAATCAGCGGAGTGCCAAATTAGGGGAACTAATCAAGCCACTTGGGGCTGCCTCATCTGGCGAGAGTCTTGTGTGAGGAATAAAAAGGGGGCAGCACTTTCGGTCCTCACAATTATAGTACCGCAAAAGTGTAACATGAGCTACAGAAACTGGCAAAAAAGGATAAACAGAGAGAAAGACAGCTGACATGATTTGCTAGATTAGGATTGGAGATGAAGTTATGCATTTTTAGAAAAGATTTTTTTTTTTTTTACCTGAAATAAACATTTGACTTTTCGCAGAAGTTGTTAAATAGACCATACTGGAACCATTCTCGGAAATAATTCGTTCCACTCTCATCTGGGTACAGACCAAGTAGGTCACTAGAGACGGAGAAGCATCGTATTACCTCTTTATTTATTTATTTGGCTTTCAAGTTACTCCAATCAAAGCAGATTCAAAACAGCATACAATTCCCCATTTTTATTTATTTATTTATAAAATTTCTTAGCTGCCCATCTTACCATAGGGGTAACCTCTGGGTGGCATACAATTATATCTAAGTTACAACATCAAAAATTAAAATCAAACCTCAAAACCATGTCTGTAAATCCCAATTAAAACAAAACTAAACCTAACATTACATACAATAACCAGAGCCCAAATCAATTTTTACAAAAAGATCATTGATGCCTGTCCATGATTGAAACCCGAGGCATTGATTCTGATACATTTATGTTTTTAAATGTTAAGTTTTGAAAGGAAAACTTATCAAAAGCAAACTAATTATTATAATTTGTAAACTAGACTTCACTTTCTAAGTTTTTTTCTGCAGCATTCAAATTATTTTTTCAGAACACTTTCTGCCTTTGGCTTGGTGTTTGTTCATACAGTGTAGCTTCAGAGATAGAGCAGTGTCTGATCTCTATCACTGTAAACTACAGATACAATCTTGTGTGCAGAGATGCCATGTTACACTGAAAAACATCCTGTATGTACAGGAAAATGAAATGTTGCCGGAGGAAATGTAGAGAACAACTGATCGTCCAGATCAGGGGTAGGCAACCTGAAGCATGCTGGCTCAGGAATTCTGGGAGTTGAAGTCGACGAGTCATAAAAGAGCCAAGGTTTCCTACCCCTGGTCCAGATACTAGACAAAGTGTTCTAGTATCAACTGCAATCTGAAACTTCAATATTGCATCAGCTCCTTATGAGAAACAGCTTGTTTGTCACCAAATAGAGAGAAGCAGTGAGGAAGAGATGGGGACACACGTGTATTGATTACTGCCATTCCTGCCCAAACTGTAAAGTTATCAACACCATGCAGCAGATTATTAGATGCTGGACTCGATAAGATCTTTGGTGTGATATGGTGGTTCTTACTTTTTAGGTTCATATTTACATATCCTCTTTTTAATTTGTAATCAAGAACAATGTTCTGAAGTCCTGGGGGTTGTCACTAAACTGCAATGCGGTCTTACCTTCTCTTGTGAGTGAGATAAAGCTATGGACTACAATGAAAACTATTTATAAGCACTGATAGCCACTTCACATTATCTTATTCTCAATCAGATGGAATATGGAAGGAAAAAGGGAACGGGAGGTATATGCTGTCAACAGGGTGTCAGTTTATTTTGCTGTCACTAAACCAGTTCTTGCAGTGTTCTAAGGATGTTACTTAGTTTGGTAATGAAACGTCTGCAAGAATCACCACCAAGCTTGGACAGCACCAAGGACCCCTCAGTTCAACCCCAGGCTACAAATATTCTCCTCCATTGGCTAAATATATGCAGTTTAGAATCAATGAAATCCAAGAATTCTTCACAGTTCATCCTTTCTACTGTGACACCCGAAAAATCCGAAGACACCACAACAGTGTTACCCAGTACTCTGATTCCTGAAATTCCAAACAAATTTGACAGAAAGCAATTACAGTAAACAGAGATTTATAGAATACATACTTGGGTAAATTTGCTCAAATATATCTGGCTGAGATGTGGAAAACAATTCTATCATAAAAGGCTGCTCTGAGGTCCCGTCAACAACATGTACCCAGCGATATGTCCAAAAGTCTTCCACACAACCTATACCGACAAAATAAACATCAATTAATGTTCTAAACATATTTCTACAGCCAAACATGTAACCTTTGAAAATACCTTTTTTCCTCTTGCGCTCGACCCGTCCAACGTATTGTACAAGTCCAATGATTTCACAAAACTGATTTTGTGCTAATTGGTCCAGTTCAGATCTGGGATTCAAAGCACAAGAGATCTTAGGATATCGAACACAGATAAAAGCCACCCACTAGAATTCCAGAAATTTTATTTATCCAAGACAGTCACTACATGGAGGTGTTCAAACAATACATCAAGGTGGGCTATGACTTCCCCTGAGAATTTGCTTCTCCCAAACTACCTAACCACAAAGGTTTTTAAGACATTTGAAAACTTTATGGTCAAAAATGGCAGCTGTAGCCAGGCACGTTTTTGTACCAAGTTACATCTCATACACTAACTGCCTCCTTTTCAGGATTGGGAAGTCTTCCTTAGTCACTTGTGACTCAGTCGCTCCTATTTGGATTCCTGCTAATGACTCTTAGAAAGCCTTCAGAGGCTACAGTTGATGCAAAATGAATTGGTCCAGGCAACGAGGGTTATAATTTTGACACTCTATTTGGTTTATTTTATGAGTGGGTTTACTATTTTTGAGAGGCATTTTGCTGGGTGATTTTTCTGATATTTAACTGCTCAGTGCTTTTGGGAAACAGATGGCATACAAATAAGATTAAAAAAACAGGTATTTATCATGCAATAGCTCTATTCATTAGGAATAAATGCACAGACAATCTATTGCTTCTTTACAGAATTTTACGCTGGCTTCTTATAAACCGAGAAAGCCATCATGTCACACACGGGCAGCAGGCTTGTGATAATATTCACAAATGCAGCTAATAATAATCTGGCTTTGTTGTACCATTTTAACACTGTTGATAATATATATAGAATTAATATCTATCACCCTATAGCATTTCATAAAGAATTTCATTTCTTTTTTTAGTCTCCCTCTCAATTTTTTAACACTAATATTCCAGTCTGGAAAAATAAGTCATGAAAAACAGACATAATGATAATATTAATAATAACCTTGTTGCAAACTGATATTCAACTTCAGGCAACTTCCACTCTGGTTTAATTTTATGTTCTGGAATGATGTTAATTTTAGCTGGGGGGTCTCGAACGTTCAAAGCAATTTCTAAAAAAGAATTAACCAGATGATGACAATTATGTTTGACAAAATTACCAGCTACATTAGTTTTGTTCTAGTCATTTAAACATACGCATTTTTAGAAAAGTTTGTTTTATCTAATTTTAAACACTTTGGGGAAGGCATGTGGCAAGTTGCATAAACATGTCAGAGAAACTTGAAACAGGGCATCAAAGGGCAAAAAAAATTCCCCCCCAAAGCAGCAGCTGTTTTCAACTGTTGCAGACAGATATTGCATTTGTGCTTCTTGGGAATTAAATCTAAAAAAAAAACCAGCTCTACTACCTCCCTACTCTCATTCTTTTCTTCCGTACATAACTTCCTTTTTTATTTATTAGACTTGTGTGCTGTTCATCTTGCCTTTTACAAAACTGGCCTCTCCAAGGCCATTTAAATCACGGATAAATTACACGAGATCTGCTACAGGAAAGCACGTGGATATTGGAGCAGTAGAAATCAGCCTGAGCACTTAGGTATATACCAGTAGAACACATAAAACTGTTAGATGGGAACTCTTTTCAAGAAAACTACAGCTCTCAACATGTTTTCTTTCTTTTTTCTACCAGCTGGGAAAAGAAAGCACAACTAAGCCAACTGTTCTACGCTGAACAATGGCTATCAATATTCATAAGCAACGGGAGAATTTGATTATAACAATCTCAAAGGAACTATGATGGGTGTCTTGGAAAACTTAGCATTTGTATTTGTATAAACTCCCCCTTCCACATTCTTAAATTAATGCATCAAGACATTAAAAAAAATCGTTCACAGTGTTATAAAAAATGAGCTAATTAGAGCAATTGAAGTAAACAGAATTGGTCACGCTATTCTTTTACCGTGTACTTCAAATCATTTATTCAAGCAACCAAAAAAGGGTCTGCTAAATATATGACAGATAATTAGATATTTAGAGACTACCTGAGCATCCTATTTATGCTCCAGGAGGCCTTGCTTTTCATTTTAATATTCTCAGTTTAATTTGCACCTGTCCTTCACTTGGACCTTCCTCCCGCCAACATTATTTTTAACTCTCCATTATCAACCGAATCCTATCGGCACTTCCAGAAAACAAAAAAAAAAACAAATCTGCTTCCACTGACCTATTGAGAAATAGATTTGAAAAGTCTCAGACCGATGAACTTGAATCTAATACTTCACAAGACAATTAGAATCACTGTCAAACTGTTTACATGCATCATCGGTTTCCCTTTATTGCTCCTACCGACCAAGGAAACAGTTCACTTTCCTGACTACATATTTTCTTATATATGCTTATGTAATTATCATCTGCCTAAACCAATCCACTGCAGGGTGAAGGCTTCTTCAGGGAAGGTTATGGGCTGAAATCTGCCATGCTGCTTCGGTGCATTTTGGTAGATTGATGCTTTTGGACTTCCTGGTTTAGATAGGGCTGAGAATAACTGACCAGCCAATTCCTGGATCCAAAAGAAAATTAGAACTTATGTATCAGACATCAGGATGCAAGCAAATCAAAATAATTGGAAACTAATTGTGGCAGTCGGAGCCCTCCTGAGAAGAGATGAATTAGATACAGATCCCATGTTGTGTAGCCAAGTAGGAAAATGGCTTCCTGCTATTTGAGAATGATTACTGCAGTAGTGATTGGTTATGACAATCGGTTTCTTCGCTGCCTGAAGTAACAAAATAACATACATTCTTTGTCTCAGATAATCATTGTATATAGGCCAAATCAACGGTCAGATAGACCTTTGTTGACCGACTACAAACCAATGAATTTTCTCTAAAAGCTATACCCCCCAAAAAATAATCATAATATTTGGGATACTTAACCTATTGAACTGAATCTCTTTAGGTGCAAATCTTCAGGACCTGGCTGTATTTTAGAAAATATACTTTTTTTCACAGCATATTTTTCAAGCAGCAGCACTGTGCCGATGTTCATACTGTGATACCATTCAGGGCATAAAGGGCCCCACAGCACCATTAACACCATGCCAGATTGATCAGCCACATCAAAACAAGCCTGCAAATATAAGAACATTTACTCTTAAAAAGTTAAAGGCTACATTATTGAAAGGTTATTTTAAATGCCTGAGGTTGAAGCATGCTTTTCATTCTATGCCCCTTGCTTCTAAATTTATCATCAAAAATTATATGCAACGTATAATCTTAAAAGCAAAAAATCCAAAGAAGTTGAAACTGGGGAGGAACGAGAGGGATTGAAAAAGGTAGGAACAAAGGGCTTAATACCAATAAAGGAGAATATTTGTAGCTCAGGGTTGAAATGAGGGGTCCTTGGCACTCTCTGAACTTCCTTGACTAGCACTGATGCCGTTACCTAGTTTGCAAGAAAACAAGCAAGCTCAGAGAGCACCAAGGACCCCTCAAAGAGTTTAATTTATGGTTTAGTACATATTGTGGTGAGATTAATGAATGGAGAGCAAACGGAAGGGATGAGATTTTTCTTCGTAAGACATAGGAATATGGGATGTCATGGGAATGGGCCTATACAAGCTGAAGCTCCTTTAGCAGAAGTGTCAAAAATGGAACATGGTATCTGAAAACAAATAGTACCAAAAGGAACAACATATTTAAGGGAAATTTTCAGAACGTTAAACCACTCAGTCTACAGTAGGCATGTTATTTAATATAATTTATCAGAGTGGATGCAGAATCATACTTGCTTCCCCTTCCTCAGCATTGGCTAAGCAAAATAAACACTTCAAAACAAATCAAATAGGTAATTATTTAATTACATATTATTGTACTACGGAGGCATGCGGTGATCGCATCATTGCACAAATGCCATGATTTATGTACTTGTGTCGAACAACTGGGTACATAAAGGGGGCATTTGGATGATGACATGGCCGACAAATATCCCATCATTTTGGCGTCACTCTATTTTGCAACGGCCACTGCTGATGTGCTGAGAGTGTTTGGGTTTCAGCATGTAAATATATACATAAACATACTTTTGGTTGTATTTTACGAGCTCTTGACTATATTTACTAAAACAGTAAGTCCGCGTAAAAATGATTTTATGGATAACTGAGGTTGTCTATCTGGGATTCACATCGTATTATTATTAACACAGCAATACATTTTAGATACTAGTTAAAAAAATACCTCTGTATCAGAAATATTCCTACCTGATATGGCACATCTAGCTTTGATTTTGGTTTTCCAAAATACCGTAAACGAGACTTATGGATGATTCTGACACGCAACGGTGGGAAGCTGAATCTGCTTTCCCAGCTCATGTCCAGAATAGAGATAGATGTTGGTTTTAATTCTATGGGGGGGAAAAAGAACAAGAGTAAATACGAGCTCAGAACTGGCAATGCTGCAATGATTTCATTGCTTTTATATATTACTACAAATACTAACATCAAAGCCCCATGCAGATAAGCTAGCTAGTGGTACAACATAACTGCTTTGATACTGACTCAAAAGCATGCAAATGTAGCTGTTCAATTCAGATTCAAAGTCCCAAATCGAAAAGCATTAGAGCATTATTAAAAAAAATCTAACAGGCAAATATTGAAAGTGTGGCAACTGAAATGTGACACCAAACCATGGCTTAGTGTTGCACGAAAAAAACAGGAAGCTACTTTAGATTTATGTACTTAGGACACAGGAAAGCAAGGAGCCTAAGCCATAAAAACTGAGCATTTCTCAAACCAGCAGGGTCTCTGTTGTGGGAAGGAACTGGAGGGAAAGCTAAAGTTAGGCAGGATGTAATTCTGATAAATAGAGACTATGATTCTTTAAGTGAGAGCCAGGTTGATGCAATGGTTAAAAGCACCAGGCTGGAAGACCCTGAATTTTAATCCGGCCATAGGCACAAAGCCAGCTGGGTATTGATCAATCCTCTCTCTCAGCTCCAGGAAGAAGACAGCAAGGGCAAAACACTTCTGAAAATCTTTGCTAATCTTGACTTCAAGGTCCCTTGAAGCTCTTAGGGAGATGGCCAGGCAGTTGCCCTGAGTCAAGACCGATTTAAAAACACCTATATGCCCATATATGATTCCTTCCTCCAATTTTGGCCAGTAGCTGTTCTGCTACTCCGAATCTCTTAACCACACTTTGACTGCTTTCTTCTTAGAGGCCAAACCATGGCTTGCCACCCTGCCCAAACCCCGTTAACGACACAACCCAATCTTCTGGCTCCAAGAACAGTTAAGGACCGTTCAAGGACCCCCCCTAGGCTTCCGTCTCGTCATGCCACTCCCTGCACTTTGCCCGTAGCCTTTCTCTGGCCTGGCCCTCCTCCACTTACCCTCCAGACCGACCTCCCTCGGGGGCTTCCTCGCCACCCACACGTCCCCAAAGGGATCGTCATTGTTCCACAGAGGAAGGTAATGCTTCCTGCCCCCCTTCAGGGGGAGGACGGTCTTCACATGGCACGTTCCCAGCTGGGAGGCAGCCCCCGGGACGGCCGCGGCCCCTGCTAGGATTTCCAGCCCTTCGATGCACACAAAGCCCGAGCTGAGGCTCCGCTCGTTGTACATGTAGGAACACTGGGTGATCTTCACCCGCCGGCCAGCCCTGAGCCTGTTTTGCTGGACCAGGCCGTTCAGCTGGGGGACCAGGAGGCACTTCTCCTGGCAGGTGCCATCCGTGACAGTCACGTCATAGTAATAGGCCGGGCAGGGGGTGTCGGGCAGGGGCGGCAGCCCGTCGGCCATGTATCTCTGCAGGAGCAGCACCGTCAGCGGGGGCGCTTCTGGCAGGGAGACCCTCAGGTCTGAGGCCTTGAGGACCAGGCCCAGCATCCTCTGGAGCCAGGAGTCTGCATGGGGGCCAGGGGCACCACTTGGGGGGTCTGGGGCCACCCCGGGGCCCTTGGCCCCTGACACGGCGCCCTCTTCGGCCAGCTGGCTGCTGGGGCCTTCCTGAGGGTCCCCCGAGCCTCTAGAGGGGCCCGCATTGGCCTCTTCCCCCCTCAGGCCTTCCTTCAGGCTGGCAGCGCCCTTCTCCATCCCCTCCCAGGCCCGGCCTTTCTCCTCCCGGTTCACCGCGGTGAGCCCAAGGCCTGCCGCCCCGCCCTTTCCGCCACTCTTCGCCCACCCTGGGCGCTTCCCCGGGCTGAGGGGAGGAAAAACAAAGAAGCCTCGGCTTCCTCTCAGAGCAGGCCGCGCTCAGTGCCCGAGCGCCGCCGCCATTGCTAAAGGGGCGGGGAGAAGAAAGGGCGCCACGAACGTTCGCTTTCGAACTGGCCAATAGGGGCGTGAGAAGATGGGCAGGGTTTCCCCCAAAGGGGCCGGACGGGACGGCCAATCCCCGCGCGGGAGGCGGGACTACGGGGCCGAAAGGAGCGGGGCGGGCTTGGAGGGAAAAGGGGCGGGAGCGCTCCGAGAAAGAAGCCAATGAGCGCGAAGGAGGCGGGGACAAAGGAGAAAAAAAGTTTCTTAATGTTAGAAAATTTTGCCCTAGTAAGTTTCTTGTTAGCGGGGCTTCTTTTCAAGGAAAATTCCACCAAACTGTCGGCTTAAAAGAGCCATGAGGTTCTGGATCAGTGTTTCTCAACCTTGACAATTTTAAGGCATGTGGACTTCAACTCCCAAAATTCCACAGCCAGCATTGCTGGCTGTGGAATTCTGGGAGTTGAAGTCCACATGCCTTAAAATTGTCAAGGTTGAGAAACACTGTTCTGGATGGTGCTGGATGATAAATCACTTTGAAGGGGACCCAAATCCAAATAAAAGTATAGGGGGAAAAAAAGTGCTTTGAAGAATTATCAAGATATGAACACTTTTTATTTTCTTTCTGAAAAAGGGAGAAGCTTTTCTGTTCAAGTGCCAGCTTTGGAATGGGCTTTAAAAGATGCCGTTATTAGGATGCATTATCTGGGCTTTATGAGTTGCCAAAAAGCAGCAGGAATCGAGTGGGACCTTGTCCAAACTAACCATTTTCTGCAGCTCAGGGGAAAAAAAGGTCCCCTTTCATAAAAGGAATGAGTTGGAAAAGATTTCAGATTCTGATTCTCTGCTGTTTATGAAATCCCTACAATTCTGTTCAAAGCCAGTATAAAATGAAATATATAAAAAAATGCAAGTTCCCTATACAAGGTATTACTTTTCCAGTGTTTCTTTAATCCAGAAAAGCCAAATCCTTCCATATTCATGGATTAACTTCCGTTGTTGAATATGCAAATTGTTTAGTAGCCTGGATGGGAAACTGTGACACTTTTAAAGAAAAAAGTCACCTGCCCATGGTTTGTGTTTTTCTTATTCTTAACCAAATGGTTTATTTATTAATTAACAATATAATCAGTCTGAAATATTCAATTCAACTCAGTTCAGAATTGAGCTAGAAGAGACCTTGGTGGTCTTCAACCCCCTGCTAGAGCAGGAGACCCTGTCCAGTTTCACAACCCAGACCCGCTTTCAAACAGTGGAAGAAATCTCTAAGCCCCATTTGTGCTCACAATTAAAGCCTCTCATTTTGAGAGAATAATTTCAGGCATTTATTAAAGCATCCATTCCAAAATTGTTCTGGGAAGAAGCCATTATTACAGATATTGGCTCTGAGATCAGGTTTAATGTCTTCAGATGTCAAATTCTTTTGAATTATATACCTATTACATAAGCATGGATGGAAATGGATCCACTGTGCCCTTATTACTAAGAAATTATTTCCATTCGGTAATAACTGATGGGCCCATATTGCTCAGTGGATTTTCATTTGCAATCTACAAAGGAGTTGCATTCAGTTATGGATTGATGTTTATTTTTATCCTGATTTATAAATAACTCAAGGCGGTGAGCATACATAATAATACGCCTTCCTCTTATGTTCTCAACAACAACCCTGTGAAGTGGGTTGGGAACACAGAGAGAAGGGGACTGGCCCAAAATCATCCAGACAGCTTTCATGCCTAAGACAGGATTAGAACTCACCGTCTCCTGGTATTGTCCCAAGTCATCCAGCTAGCTTTCATGGCTACAGCGGGACTAGAACTCTCTGTCTCCAGGTGATTGGCCCAAAGTCACCCAGCTGGCTTTCATTCCTAATGCAGGACTAGAATTCACCATCTCCTGTTGATTGGTCCCAAGTCACTAAAGCAGAACTAGAACTCATCTGCCTAAAGCAGAATTAGAACTCACCATCTCCCAGTTTCTAGCCTGATGTCTTAAGCCCTAGACCAAAATGGCTCTATAATGAAAACTGCTCATACTCATTAAAAATGCACTACACTTTCAATCCTCGAAGGAGTATCACTTTTTTTGTTATTCTTTCCCTTTTCTATTGTTTTTTCCCCTTTCTGTTCTCTTTAATAACATAAAGCCCCCATCTCAGATCAGTTCCAAGCACTGTAAAATAAGCTATGAGAATCCATTCTCTTCCTCCGCTCCAATCCTATTCATTTTCACCATATTGAGTATTCATGTGTAGAATAAAAAGATTCTTACATTATAAACATTCTGTTTATATTTGAACATCCAATGTAAGCACGCCACTATGTAAAACAGAATAACATTTGGTTAAGAAAGAAAAGCAGCTTCCGTTTTCAATCATAATACGGTTTGCTAGATACCCAGAGTCTTTTTCCTGTCGTGGCTTTTTTAAAACACGGTTTCAAAAATAACAAGAAACTCTAAATACTGTTTAAAATATCATTTCGTGGTATTCACTGAGAAAGCACACCTTAGTGGTTTTGATAAGTAGTACTGAATAGCATTTTAACAAGATAAGATACCCAGAATATATATCGCCTGGTTCAGGACGAACTTTGATTTATGGGCTGGTTCAAAGAATCCACAGAGAACAGCCTTTTTTTATATAGATTGTAGGCTTGCTCATGTTTCATTTAACTTAAATACAGTTTTGTAGGAAAGCGTCTGAGCTTGTAAACTGCGTTGTGCGATATTTCTCGGAGAAGCAATTTTATTGCCGAGCAATTTTTCTCATTGAAAGCAGATCCAGTGTCATCCCAACAAACAGGGATATCAAATTAAAATGCCAAGCTTCATCTTATAGCCACAGAAGATAAGTAATACTTCTAAACACTGTAGTTGGTGCCTTTGTGAAAACATGCAGCTTACAGAATACACATAAGCTGTTCTTATTTAACATGGCTGGGGTATAACTTGGTGGGTTTTTTTAAAGAAAGGTAAGCTGTAATTGTACCTGGTTTTCATATGTTCTTCGCTTCCAAACTCTGTACAGGATGTCCTCAACTCACGAACTGCAGTTGAGCCCAAAATTGCTGCTGTTAAGTGAGATATTTATTGTGGGTTTTGCCCTATTTTATGACCTTTCTGGCCTCAGTTGTTAAGTGAATCACTGCAGTGGACAAGTTAGTAACCTCGTTGTTAAGTGAATCCGGCTCCCCCGTGGACTTTGCTTGTCAGAAGGTTGCAAAAGGGGATCACGTGACCCCGGGAGGCTGAAACCGTCCTAAGTACATGCCAGTTGCCAAGCGTCTGAATTTTGATCATGTGATCGTGGGGAGGCTGCAACGGTCGTAAGTGTGAAAAATGGTCATAAGTCACTTTTTGCTTGTTGTGACTTAGTTACTTCACTAAGTGAACTGTTGTAAGTGGAGGACACCCTGTATTTGTATGTATTTTGTGTGTGTGTGTGTTTGTGCGTATGGGAGGGCAAGTAATTTCACTGCAAGCACTGAAAGCGAGGCACATTTTTTCCACAACGCCACAAGACTTTTGTGGGATATACACTGAGTTAACTTTCAAGGGCAAACTCAATATATTATTCTATTTACATTCCAGGCTCCTGTTCAAATGCTCCTTGCTGTTTGTTGCTTCAGAAATGCTGAGAACTTGCTACAAAAGAGAAAAGGGAAGCAAAACAAGGGCGCAGCACGTTTTTTTTCTCTGCAGTTTATAAAAAAAACCCAATCATCACTGTCTTTGAAAAGATAACACTTCCATTTTTTCCCAGAATATTGCTTTATTTTTTTCTATTTTCAAATATACAATTTTGACATTACGAAGTTATAGTACAAAAAGAAAAAATCTCATTATACATAATGCATAGCCTAATAACGTTCCAATGCTTTAAACTAAAGCAACTCGCGGGCTAAATTTTAAGGCATACTTGTTACAGATAGTTCTCGACTTAGGAGCCCAAGACTTCTGTGGCTAAGCGAGACCTTTGTTAAGTGACTTTTGCCCCATTTTACGACCTTTCTGGCCGCAGTTGTTAAGTGAATCACTGCGATTGTCAAGTTAGTAAGCCAGTTGTTAAGTGAATCCGGCTTCCCCATTGACTTTGCTTGTCAGAAGATCGCAAAAGGGGATCACGTGATTCCCCCGGGGACACTGCAACCGTCATAAATATGAGGCACTTGCCAAGCATCTGGATTTTGATCCCGTGACACCACGGGGATGCTGCAACCGTTGTAAATATAAGAAGTGGTCCTAAGTCACTTTTTTTTCCAGTGTGGTTGTAATTCTGAACAGTCGCTAAATGAACTTTTGTTAAGTCGAGGACTATCTGTACTTTGACACACTAAAGACATTTCAGGAGTTGTTGGGAATCATCGGTGTTACAGTATATTACTGATATTTTGCTCTCTCAAGAACCTCATACAAAATAACTTCATTGCTTAGTGCAAGAGACCGCCCTTAAAAGAATAAACAAAATACTAGGAACGAATACAACGGAAGTCTCAAAAGGCTAAATGTTTATTTCAGCATTACCAATCCCTCTGAAATCTTTTCACTCTCCAGGCAATGCCCGCACGATAATTAATATAATCTAAAACTCTGATATGAATTCTTAAATATCAGCCTTCTCAATATATATATCTCACGTACTTTCCACGCCTATCTAGAATTGCAATATTCCTCTTTTCCTTCATTTTGCTTTCTACTAACGTTCTCTTTCTTTTATCTACTAACCTTCTTTTATACTCTCTCCTCTTCAGTGGCATTTCGTCTGCTTGATTATTTCTTGGAACGCTTGTTTTTTTTTGTGTTTGTTTTTTTTTTGCTACTATCTACTATCAATCTTGATTGTTTTTTCACAGTGCTGCATTTTGTAATTAGACTGAACCAAAACAAAACTTCCTGTTAATTTAAGATTTGGATTCGACAAGCTTAGAAGCAAAACACACCATTTTTATCCTAGAGAGAAAAAGAGAAACAGAGAGAGAGAGAGAGAGAGAGAGAGAGAGAGAGAGAGGGAGGGAGGGAGGGAGGGAGGGAGGGAAGGAAGGAAGGAAGGAAGGAGGGAGGGAGGGAGAGAAGGATGACTGCATTTAAAATTATTTCTTCTTTTCCCATCAAAACATTTTTTTAAAAAAAAATCCTCATCTCTCTTCATTCCTATAGTATCAGAAAGTCTAGGATGATTCTTTTGTTTTTAAAGATTAAATTATTTGATGGAACTCTTTTTGGGAAGATATACTAGATTAAATTCCACCTGCTGAATTTATTTTCAAATTGTGGGGAAAAAAACAGTTGCACATTGCACCCCTATGTGTACTTGCTCCGAAATTGGTCCTCCTGCTTGTTCCAAGTTAAGGATATTTAGGCAGGCAGCCAGAACACCGACAACAGCTGTTGACAACCATCTGGGTCCCCTGCAGGTACACACACAACTTCCTTCTCACTCTGTTTTTAAATGGAACCAGAAAATCAACACCTCTTCCCTTCCTTTTTAACCTGCCGTGTATCAAGAGTCCCATCTTAACTGTCATACTAATTATGTATTAGGAATAAGAAAGAGCTTCACTTTGTTATAGCTAATGGCTTCCCGAAAATGAGCTTTGAGGAGTGATTCAGCAAAGTAGCTGTCAGGAAAAGAAAAATCCACTTGGGATGAGTTTTAAGTTTCACAGATGTAGTTCCCAGTTAGTCTCATGTCACCGTAAACCTACAAAATAGGTTTATTGTGATTTGCATGGATTTCCCTCCCCTATTTCCCCATTACCTTCACTGTTCTTTGTGTTTCTGCATTTTATATTTTGATAAAGACTATTAAAAGTACTTGAATCAAGACGGGAGTGATCAGGACGCTTTTGTTAATTCACGACGCTGAACAAAGAAAAAGAAAAAAAAAGCACAACCGCCAGCCTGCCGAATGGACCCGTGTGTCTTGGAATTAACAAAAGGCTATCCCTTTAAGAGGAACACTCCATAAAAACAAGTTATTTTCACCTCTTAAAAAGATGGCCAGGAGCTTGGCTGCCCTAAGAAAGTTAAAGAAACTTAAGAGAAGTCTTTCAAGAAATTGTTTTCATGACAAAAGCCCCCCCCCACTCCCTACCCCAGTCTTTGGCTAGAAATTGGGAACATAGCCTGATTGTAGCAGTGTTCCATTCCCAATTCTTTTCCAAAATGCTATGTCTTTATAGGAGAGTAACAATCGGTTCCTCCTCTAACAGCCCTTATTCCATTGAACAGTGATTGCTTCTCCAGGGACTTGAAGAGAAGACGGGATTCCCAGCCCAGTTCTCGGATATGCGTTTGACTGGAAATCTGAGGAACTGAATCCCACATACCTCTTGCAACTGCAACACGTAAGAAAACGCAACACTCAGGAAAAAACAACAACCATCTGATGGCAATTTCATGCTGGAATTTAATCCACTGCCTGTTTAAATCCTTCACGCGCCCCACCTTTCTCCCGTAGTCTTCAGGTGTATACGCTTCTCTCTTGGATAAAAATAATTTTGTCGAAAGTGTTCATCGCCTTAAAAAATAAAATAAAACAGTGCCTTGCCTTTTCCCAAAGGGTTGTACAAACTTTAGTGGAGTCTTGCAAAACCTGAGAAAGAGTACAACCCGAATTGTAAACCCTGAGAATATAATATGGTGGAACCACACAGTGTGTCGTTCCAGAGATGTGTCCCTCAATGAGATGTGACTGATATAAAATGCCTGCTTTCTTTTTTTTTAATCTTAGCTTCAAGAGTGAGGTTTGGAATGAGACAACTTGCTACGGTCAACTTACCACGGCCAAGTCACTGTGGCCAACTATAATAATAATAATAAAGTTGGAAGGGACCTTGGAGGTCATCCAGTCCAACCCCTTGCTCAGGCAGGAAACTCTATATCATTTCAGACAAATGGCTGTCCAGTCTCTTCTTAAAAACTCACCATGGCTAACTTGCTACAGGACAATTCGACAATTCAATTTAATTATTTAAAATAATTAAATTTTTGTCATTCACATTCAATTCTGTCCCTCCTGTTGCATCCTTTCTTTAATGACTCTGTTCCACCATTTCTTTGACATTAGTGTAACCCTTGTCCCGAAGCAAGTTGCCCGGGGCGAATTGTCCCAGACCTGTGAGGATAATGGACATTGTGGTCATTCCAGTTAGAGTGGCCTTTAGACCTCGTTCTGGGAGGGGCGGTTGATCCTACCATTACATTAGAAACAAAACACTTAAATGAAAGTTCTCCGTTGAGATGCAAGAATAAAAAAAAAATTGGAAGGGACCGAATCCCAGATGGGATGGGAGTCCATCTCATTCAAATATTAGCGACTGCTTGAGCAAGTAACGAAAAGCAGCATCTTGCTTGAGGATATTTTTTTTTTCATGGTTTAGAATATCCGCAGAAATCTGATGGAACAGCACGCACGAGAAGAGACCGTGCTTTGCAACAAACAATTGCAAAATCGGGTAGAAACTGGGCTGTTGGTGTCCCCGCGGACACTTCTAGCCTCAAATTGCTGAGAACATGGACTTCCCCTGGGAATTTCTCCCAGTGGATACTCCTTGCTGAAATGAATGAACGTTTCGCGAGGCTGTGAAATCTCCCAGCCAACAGAGATGTTACCGATGAGTTCAGAGAAGAAGACAGATCCACACCTGGGAAAGCCAAAGCCCACCAAACTAATTGAGCAATCCAAAGGTTTGTCTCCACCTCATCGCTAGGCGTGCTTGCACGGAACACACCGTTTCACCAAAACACCCTCTCCTCCCCCTGAACACCAAACAAAACAACATTACAATCTTTGTGCAAACACCCCCCCCCTTCCCCCAGCTCTGTGCATACTTTGTAAGATGGGGAGCTTGGCTTCAACGGTGCAATTGTGCTTGGCACAACTGCCTTTAAAAAAACAACAACAAAAAAAACGGGCTCTCCAGGATACCGAACAGCGAATTTCAAACAGCGGACAATACATTTGCAAGAGTTGTACCCTCCGCAACTGCAGGAAAGTGTGAGGATCGTGGGTGTTTTCTTTTCCTTTTCGTTGCAGGGATGAGGGGCCAACTTCTGAAACGAACTTAAGCTTTATATGGCTCATAGAAACTGGGAAAGTCAAACGTTCCTTCATTCCAAAGGGATTTACCAGTTGAACAGTATGTTTTGGCCCAGGGTCATAAAGTAAATTTGACTGCTGCCTCCAGACTGAACAGAGGCGAAAAATACCTTGAGGAGAGAGATAAGGAAAGTGTCACTCCAACTTTTTTTTAAAAAAAAAATATTGAGCATAATTTGATAATAGTGCACATACTTCGGCAGACATAAACACGAAGACTGCTTTAATCCAACCCTCCCAACATTGGCATAAACTGCCACGTTGGGGAAAATCTAGCTTTCTAACCAGGTTCTAACCAGGTTCTAACCAAGGTTCTTCAACCAGAAGAACGTCTTGTGTCTCTTCTGGAAGCACAACTAAAAACACCTAACTCATTTTCGGGTGTGAATTCCATACCACCCCTCCCAACATTGGCATAAACTGCCATGTCGGGGAAAATCTAGTCTTCTAACCAGGTTCTTGAACCAGAAGAACATCTCGTGTCTCTTCTGGAAGCACGACTAAGCACAACACCAGATTCTTCTTCTGGTACAAGGGATGGATGGATTCCCTCCCACCCCTTCCAACCTCTGCACACGTACCTTATCGTTCCTTTCACACAGAAACTTCAGCTTTTGAGCTTTCTTGTGCATAAACACGCCTTCCAGACATCCCGTTTCCACAGCACGCAGCTCAATTGCTTTCTCGCCCCAACCCATCACCTGATTGGACTGAAGATAAGCTTTTAGGAAGAAAAAAGAAACAAACAAACAGTTAATGGAGCTTTTTCTTAAAAAAAAAAAAAAAGTAAAAGAAAACCCACAAAAAACAAAGACAAGTGACAGAGGAAAAGGCTGAATAAATGGTCCTGTTCACGGGAAGCTGTTGGCAATAGTAACCCCCTCCCCACACTTCTAGTATTTGTAGCGAAGGCTCCATCTGATAAGAAGAAGAATTACAATCTGTGCCACTTGGGCTCTAGCTTGGACAGGATTGTCTTACAAGCTCCTGGAGCCACATTGCGGGACTTTTTCAAATGCTGCTTCCAAGCCTTTTGCTTGCGGGGTGGGGTGGGGAATGTAACTTAGATATATGCTCCACTAAGTTGGAGGCCAGTGTTCTTAATTTGTTGAGGCCAAAGCTAAATGTGATTTCCTTTATTGAAAATCCCATCTCCTAAGAGAAAGCTACACCTCCAGCAGGATGCGTGGGGGGGGGGGGGAGAGGCTAAGATCTTTACGAGCTTGAGATTCTTCTTGTTTTCCTTCTTTGCACCTGCCTCCTTTCTTTTTCCCCTTTATTATCACAACCTTTTCAATCTGAAGCTCGAGGCCAGGGACGGAGTGCTTTATCTTAATCGCTAGACCCCGCACAGGGAAAGCTTTCCAGCTGACATAAGGAGAGAAACACTTTCATAAATAAAAGATGACATTTCCAGATGTTGACGGGCATCCAAAAATGCGGACTGTTTGTTCCCACCGAGGCAAGTTGGAGCTTGCCCCATCTATTGTTCGATCACCAGGCTGCAGTCCCACAGCTGCACCTTCCTATAAATAGATTATGGTGTCTGTTGCTTGGGCCTTCTGATCTCCGTGATGTAGCTGGCTGGGGAAAAAAATGAAGCTTCGGTGTGCTTCTCTACCTAGCTGGGTTTTTTCCCCTTTTCTTCCTAGATCAGGGTATTGTTTTCTGCTTGATTGTTTGTCTGGTGTTAGTCCCTGCTTATCTGGGTGTTAGTTGCTGGAGTGGATGCGTTCTGGCTTTAAATAGGGAGCAAGCCCCACCCTCACTAGCCCTGAAGAGGTTACCTAGTCAGGTAATGAAATGTCTGCAAGCCAATAACCAAGTTCAGAGACCACCAAGGCGTCCACAGTTCAACCCTGAGTGACATAAATTATCTTCCATTAGGACAATTGTTGCAGCCATGCTCCTAATTCCATGGGTAATCCAAATATAGATCAGGGTATTGTTTTCCGCTTGATTGTTTGTCTGGTGTTAATCCCTGCTTCTCTGGGTTTGGGCTGCTGGAATGGGTGTGTTCTGGACTTAAACAGGGAGCAAATCCCATCCTCTCTAGCACTGATGATGTTACCTAGTCAGGTAATGAAATGTTTTCCTTGGTAGTTCCTACATCGAGGTATTGTTTTCTGCTTGATTGTTTGTCTGGTGTTAATCCCTGCTTCTCTGGGTGTAGGATGCGGGATAGGATGTCCTCTGGCCTTAAACAGGGGGCACGCCCCACCCTCTCTAGCGCTGATGATGTTACCTAGTCAGGTAATGAAATGTCTGCAAGCAATCAACCTTGTTCAGAGATTACCAGAGGCTCCATAGTTCAAACCTGAGCAACAGAGATTGGAAAATTGGTGCAGCCATGCTCCTAATTCCATGGGTAATCTAAGACTTTTGGGGAACCAGAAAAATATACCCCTCATCCTTAAATTTCAAAGAAGGCACACAAGTGTTATAAAACTCATGGTGTACCCTTATCCAAACTGACTGAAGCAAAAGAAAAAAGAAAAAACGGTCTATTTCTAATATTCCTGCTGTCTTGTTTTCAAAGTATCAGCCTCTTGTCCAGAGAAACCCTGAAATTTCAGCTCTGCATCTTTTGAAGAATCAACCGCTTAAGTACGGTAGCTTCACCACTTTAATTTCCCTCCGGAGTTAAGTTTCCTTGTTCCAATTACTAGAACGACTCCACCAGTCTAGTGCCTTAAATTCTTAAAGAGCTCCCTATGTTTCATTTCTTGACCTCTATTGATTATTTCATTCCTCCCTTCTCTCTTTACCGGTTAAAATTTTGCAAATTGCTTTATTTTATTGCTAACGTTCGTGACGCAGGAGCTGGTTGAAACAAGTGAAGAATTAGCTTCCTGAAAACAGCGGGGCTTTTACCTTCGACTAGATCCCTACTTGGGAAAATGTTTCCTCAAAAAACAAAATAATAGAGTCCCCCTTGAACCGTAAGCAAAGTTTAGAGAAAAACAAAGATGACCCTTTTAGGAAAAAAAAGCTGTTCTTTTGTCCTTGCCTTTCCCCCCCCCAAAAAATGTTTTTTTTAATTTTCGTTCAACATTGATTACAATTAATCAATCTGAGGCTTCGCCTGCACAAATCCATCTGTGTTGCTTCCATCCTAGCTCTTCCTTTCAACCCTCAGACCTGGTTCTGAGAAATGGAGACATTTCTCTATTTTAATAGGAAAAAAAATCAAATATTCTGCCTTTTCAGCTGCACATAGGGCCAAGATAGGGAGAAAAAAAATCTACAGCATTCCAGGTTCCTTCCAGTATTATCATAGTGAGCTGTAACCTAGCCTGCTTCCTCCAGGATATAATTTTAAAATTTCCAGACAGGTTCAGTAACAAAAACTAGGATTTTCCCCTTCTAACTCTCACCTGCTGATAGCTCTTTTATCTCTTGAGATCTTCACATCATGCAGCTAATGCTAGATTGTCAGGTGAGAGAACCTGACATTATACAGACAGTGTTAAACATTAATGTACCAGGGAAAACAATTGTCTTGACATGTGTTAATTATACCATGCCGCTCTGATTCTTAATATTAAAAAAAAATCATTGGGAAGGTGAAGTATTGTGATAATGGCAACACCAAAAAGGAAGTAACTTGCCTTGCTCTATGAAGTAATAAGAGAAGGGAATATTTGTAGCTAGGGCTGAACTGTGGAGTCCTTGGTGCTCTCTGAGCTTGGTTGCTTTCTTGCAGACGTTTCAATTACCCAACTAGGTAACATCATCAGTGCTAGTGAGTGTGATGTGTGCTCCCTATTTATATACAGTAGCTTGTCCTGCCAGTGTTAGCGGGGTGTGTGGTTTTCTCCGTGGTAGTTCTGGGATTAGGGAATTGTTTTCCACTTGACTGTTTGTCTGGTCTTAATCCCTGTTTATCTGGATGTTGGCTGCTGGAGAGGATGTGTTCTGATCTTAAACAAAGAGCAAACCCCACTCCTTCTACCACTGAAGTTGTTACCTCGTTGGGAAATGGAATGCCTACAAGAAAACAACCACGCTCAGATAGCACCAAGGACCCCACAGTCCTCTTTCTCCTGCCCTTCTCTTCCTCTTTGCAAACCCCACTTCCTTCAACCACTGAAGTTGTCAACGGCAAGAAAACCACCATATTTAGAGAGCATCAAGAACCTGACCATCTTCCTCCTTCTCTCCTTCTCCTCTTCTTTGCAAACTGCACTCTCTTCTAGTACTGATGATGCTCCCTAGCTGGGTGATGAAACATCTGCAAGAACACCACCGTGAACCAAGGACTTTGAGGGAACAAGAGTAAATGTGATTTGTCCACTCCCATGTATGGTAGGTGCCCAAAACAAGTTTAAATGAGGAGCTGCAAACCTCAGCACTTTTTGCAATCAGTGGCACGGTCAGACATGCAGGTAGATGTGGTTTTAGTACAGTGGTTCTCAACCTTTTTAATGCGACCCCAACCGGTCGTAAGTCGAGGACTAAACTGGTCGTAAGTTGAGGACTACCCAACCGGTCGTAAGTCGAGGACTTTCCCTGCCCGGGAGCGCCGCGCATGCGTGGTTCCGCCCCCTGCGCCGGCCGAGGTGTAGCTGGCAAGCGGCAGAGACGGAGCAGGCCGACCACCAGCGGGCCCAGCCCAAGGGAGGTAAGGCACCCGCCGGAAAAGGGGGAAAAAATGGCGGACCAAAAAAATGGCAGACCAAAAAAATGGCGGACAGCCTTGCTTGGCGACCCCCATGAAATGGTCAATCGACCCCAAATGGGGTCCCGACCCACAGGTTGAGAACCACTGTTTTAGTATGTCTTCCGCTTCCAGTCCATTTTACATACCTACTGATGTGGGCATTTCCCCCCACTGCAAAATGTTTTCTTTGGAGAAGTGCCCATAAATATCAAGGTAGACTCCTTCATCTTCATAAGCCAGCAGAAGTTCCATCCCACTGGTGTTCCGGAGAATGATAATAGCATGCGGATGAATATTTCCCTGGATCTGAAATAATATTTTAGGAAGATTTACATCACGGAACAAGTTACAACTTAAGTAACTACAGTCCATCAATTTAGGTGTCACGACAGAGCATTTAAAAACCAACTAGCTTGGAGATCCGGAGAAGCGAAAAAGATTTATCTCTTTGAAAATGTCAATGTACTTTCTCCTGTGTTCAGAGTCGATAACAAAGGAAAAGACATGTCTTTCTTTTTTTAATATCAAGTTTTAGCTGCTACCTGAGAAAAGGTGTTTCTTTTATCCCTCTTTAAATATCAAAGATCGCCTATTCAGTACTCGCCTTTGAATTTGGGGAGTTTCATGTTGTGAAAATAAATAAAACCCAGAGTAATTTGGATGCGGGAGGACTTGCAATAGCATTGTAAAAATGATTGTAAAGGGCACCTTAGCATAGAAATTATCCTGTTAAAAATTCTTCTGAGCATTACAGAATTATAGAAAACAGCCTAAAAATAAACGACAATATAGCAATAGATTACATAAAAGCACACAGGCTGACTGAGATTATTCTAATGATAAGGGTTTTATTTCTCAGTTCTGTTCTCAATCATTTCCTAGCATGGCATACATAAATTATTGGCTCAGACGGGGAGGGCATTTTGTTCTATAACTTTGCATTAATTCACCAGAAACTGCTGAAACTTCAATTCTTTCTGAAAATGGGGGGGAAAAAAATACAGAATCACAAAACTGCTGTACAAGGAAGTTGGAAAGGTGACTCAACTAAATTGCAATATCGAAGAATTTTGCACGCATTTTATTTACCAATATATGAGGGGAGCAATGTAAGCAAGAAATTAATACATTGTGTGGTTTCTTTTTTTTAAAATATATATATATATATATACTACATGACTTCTAGTTCGACAGATCTGCAAACAGTGCAACAATAACAGGAGAGCAATTATTTCTTTGTTTTATTAGTTCCGCTGTCATCGTTTTTATAAGCCTAAGCTCAATCTTGACAGGAAAAAGAGAGGCCACTTCATCTTACTATTAAGCATCTTTTTATTTCAACCTTACGTTTTATCTCTTCTGTGTGTGTGACTGGAATTGCCTGTTTTTCTGCCTGTTGCCTCAACTGACGCTGATGATAACATTCAAGACTGCATGTTTGACGAAACACTAAACCTGTCTCTCAATCTGGAGTTTCTTAGACATTTGATAAACTTAGGAGAATGACTGAGGGAAACATTATTATCCAAAGAGAGAGCATTGACACTTGCTCCTGGGCTGCCTCATCACTAGAAGGAGAGAAGAACATCACCCATGAAATGTCCACCAGAGTGGTCTTCTGCATCAAAACAGAGGGCAAAACCTCAACCTGCTTTCACCAAAGAGAAGGATGAAGGACATGGATGAAAAAGAAAAATGCAGATTTCTTTTTTTTACTGCATGACATTATGTGAGATAGCCAAGCCAGATGCTAAGGGAAGTCTACAGATGGATTTCCCCTCTTTTCATCTTTAAACTCAACACCTGGGAAGAAGGAGGCATTCTAGATTGGGGTTAAACCTGCTCCCCACAGGTTCCTTTAAAGAAAACCTCACCAGGGGGAGATCCCTTGTGGGGACATCATCCCCTACATGTTCTGGCCTTCTCCTTTCACCGACAGCAAATAGCCCCTTTGAGGAGAGCTGGAATTTAAATCAAGGTAACGTCGATTCTTTTCATCCTAACATCACGTCACCCTCCAAATCTGGATTGATGCAGAGAAAAATCCCTATTTAATACCGTCTAAGTCCCAGTGGTTCTCTGGTTGAGTTCCAGCTACGTTCCAGCTTTACTTCTCTTTCTCTAAATAAATACAGACATTGCTTGAAGGTCATCTAGAGGCTTATCTTTAAGACACAGATAAAGACACACACAGGAGAAACAAGTTGCGTTCAAAAACACCCAGACTAAACTCTCCTTGGCACACATTCCATCCAGATGCAGAGAAGCCTTGCCGTCCAGGCTATAAAATGTTCAAAGAGCTTTAAGCAATTTAGAATATATAACTTCTCAAATCCTCGGGTGCTTCTCAAAAGAGAGAGAGAGAGAGAAAGGATTTGCAGCAGCATCCCTAAAACGAATGCTTTGCCGTTACAAAAAACCAGCAGGTAAAATTAATTCTGCCGACAATAACACCTCTACAATACAAGAGACAGAAGCTCCTCAAAAACTAATTAAGTTGGGATGGATGGCTGCTATTAGTGGGTTGTTTTTTTTAAAACGCAAGGAACAAACCCAAGGCCCATTAAAGACCTTCATGCCACTCTATTGCCAAGCAAATCTTGCAAATAAAGGAAAAGCACAAGAAACGTTTCACTCGCTGGACGTACTTGCCCACCCATGCGGTCTGGGATCACGGCTGCAACGATCCGCAACACCAGAATAGGGACCCAGAGCCGGAAAGCTATTTTAATATGCTGCCTTGGGTTGAGTTGCATGAGCAATCAAAGCCGGGGAGCCAGAAGCAAGAAGGTTAAAAAAAAAAAAGAGAGAGAGAGAGACGGGTTCCGTCCGTTGGCTTTCAAAGACGCTGGCTCCAAATTGAGAATTTCAGAAGACAATTATTCACATCTCCAACCCTGACAGCTGCAGCTCAGAAGGAGGGCAGGAACCGTACTTCCATTCCTATATTCTTGAGGGAAGGTGTATTTTTAGTGTATTCCCTCTTAACGGTGACAAGCGAGCCGAAATAGGAATCGCACGTCTCCTAGGGGAGACCCCCCCTATCGAGGGCAACTGACTGGGAGAGATTGTTCCTTGCGCAGATAATTAAATTGGGGGGTTTGCCATCAAAGCCAATCTTTTGTTTAAAAACATGATCCTTTTCATTGGCTGGTTTACTTTTTATTCAGGCCATCCAATGGCCTCTTTCTTCTATCTTCTTATCCTGTCCTAAAACCAGCTTATTTTGTGTGTGCTTAAAGGGAATGGGGGGGGGGTTTATTATTTTATATATATTTTTTATTATTTTTATTTCTTCTACATTGTGTTTGTAAGCCACCGAGAATCTCCATAAGCGAATAGTCAGCTATATAAATTTTCTAAAATAAAATAAATAAAATAAAATATAAATAAAGTGTCTCCTACAGAGGGTTGCATTGGCTATAGCAATAGGACCTAAGACTTATATACTGCTTTACAGCCTTCTCTAAGCAGTTTACAGAGTCAGCCTATTATCCCCCAACAATCCTCATTTTAGCGACCTTGGAAAGATGGAAGGCTGAGTCAACCTTGAACTGGTCAGGATTGAACTGCAAGCAGTGGGCAGTTAGCCTGCTATGCTGCATTCTAACCTCTGCACCACCACAGTCCAGGGGTGATCTCTTGACTTCATGTTCCTCCTTTCCAGAGGTGCAACGGAGGGAAAAAAGAGCAGAGGCATCTTCAGTGCTCCACTAAGCTAATCATCCCCATCCTTTTTGTGAACTGATGAGAAGGTTGTTAGTGTAAATAACTCGATAAAACCAAACGGATCCAAAAATGTCAGGAGAAACATTCAAAATCAGCCAATCTCAGTCTGATGTCCTTCAAATGTGTTGACGTCCCAGTAAAGGCTAAGATAGAGAATTCTGGGAGCTGAAGTCCACACATTGGGGAGGATGCCTTAGAGAGGGAAAATTGCCCTATGCAATGACGACATCATCATCAGTCAAGATGGCTAGTTACAGCTGAAGCGCGACACCACCATCTAGATACTCACATGTGTCGGCAAATAGAGGTCATACACCGAGCCGGAGTCCACGTCAATGGCATGAAATCCCACTGCTGACCCATAGATAACTTTCAGCCGCTGCCCGTTCTCCACAGTCAAGTCCACCAAGAGTGGTTTTTGAGGAAGCGAGGTGAAGGACTGCACAAAAGAGGGATCGACACATTTGGCTTTATTATTGGGATACCGATTACACGCAGTTATGAACTTGGATCTGAGCAGATCACATGATCATAAATATCCAACTGGGGGGCTCAAATGGGCAAGATGGTGGGTGTGCCGTTGTGCGTGTGGCATTGATGCCCATGCAAAAAAAGGGTGGGGGACAGATGGTGACCCCCGCACCTGCCATCTCGCTGATCTTGACACCTCTAGAAGTGACTCAAACTACCTGCCAATGCATGTTCCAACTTTCTTACGAAGTAGACACAATAAAATTAGAGTCAGGGTTGATATAGGTAGAAAGGCAGATACAGGCTGAAAAGTCAGGCACAAAGGATCAGGACCATTGCAGCACAAAAGATGTATTCAAGCCTACACACAAGAATCTAGTCAACTCATGGCCAGTCCTAAATTGGCACCAGATAAGGGTGAATAGAATTCAAGGGAGGCTGGACTTGGAACATTTGTGGCAAATTAAGGATTCTAAGCTAATGACACATTTAATGCCGCCCCCACCCAGCCTTGCCCGCCGTTTTCGTACATGAAAAGCAAATCAGTTAAGAGTTTTGGATAAACCTGCAGCATAGATTTACAACACAATTTGCACTACTTTCCTATCACAACTGCCCCCACCCACCCACCCACAAATCTGAGGAAGTGCAATGGGTTGAAAATCCTTTCACTTCATTTCCTTAGCCAAATGTTCCCAAGACCCTCAACAAGAAGGCACTAATTGAATTGATTGAAGTTCTACCGTTTTACCTTAAAAGCCATAAATTTATGATACGGCTTGGGAGCCCAAGCGTAGACTTCAACTGAATTCTTCACGGCAATCACCAGAAACTTGATCCTCTCGTATTTCACTACAAAGCAATCATTTCTTTCTTTAATTGGCTAGGCATAAAGATTGAGAGAGCATTCTAAATCACTGTTTAAACAGCCAGAGCGTGCAGCCGAATGTAACAGGATTTTGATCTAGTGTCAATGCAATGGGATTTGATCTACGGTGCCGTACACACTTGAGGGTCATGCAAAGACCTTGGTTGGTTTACATGACTGCTTATCCTAGGATTCCTAGCTCCTAGATCGACCACAGTTCCTGATTTACATATTTATTCAGGAATAATTCAAAGCTGGAATGAGCTGACAGTAATCAAGCCCCAGCAGAATCATTATGTAATGACTTATGTTAAAAACAGAGCATCGATGATAATATAAATCTTGGGGGGAAATTATCTCCATAGCCCGTGTCTCATTCTACAGATTGTATGCAAATATCCTGCCTGAGCACCCTGTATATAGATGTAAGATATATCCTGGGATCCTACGTTCTACAAACAAGGGTTGTATTAACCTCCAAACCTAGATTGTGCCAATAAATAAACAGATTGGTTTCTGTCATATATTTCTGTCGTGAAATTGCTTCTGTGTATTTTTTACGCACTTCACGTGCCCATAATAATCTAATGCATCTAAGAGACAGGCTGGTCAGCAATGTTCAACACGAGCTTCATGAATCTGTTCCTCAAGGCTCTTCCAACTGGATGCCCACCAGATGTGCTGGATTTGAGTCTCCATCACCTCCAGATGTGCTGTCTGAAGATGATGGAAGCCGGTTCAAAACTTTCCAGAGTCTCAGCATTTTTATTTTTATTTTATAATCTGGTGACCAAAACTGGATGCATTATTCCAAGCATGGCTTTACCAAGGCCTTATAAAGGGGAATTAACACTTCAGGGGATTTTGATTCTATCTCTCAGTTAAAGTGGTGTTTGTTTGTTTTTTGATACACCTTTTTAAAATGTTTTCTGTGTTTTGTCCTCTTTTTTTCCCCTTTTCTGTCTTCTTTAGGATTCTTTTTGTTGGGGTGGGGGGAAAGGGGTTGCACTTTGTATTTTAACCTTGTCTTGAATAAAATAATAAATTTTTTTAAAAAAAGAAAAGGATGGCCCTCATTTGGCCAGACCCTTATTTCAACAGCGTTCGGGGCCCTTGGAGGAAAAGGAAGACCCTCACCAACTTTGTAGTGTACACAGCCTTCTAAGTCGCCCACCGACACCCAGCCTTGTCGTTTCTCCACCTCGGGGTCATTCCGCAGGATCTTGTTTCGTAGCCAAGACAAATAATATACCCGTAGCTTATTCTTTTTGCCTGCGTGGGTTGGAACAGAAGCAAAAAAAAAAGGAGCATGTTAAAATTTAATAACAACAACAACAACAATTGGAAGGGGCCTTAGAGGTCATCTAGTCCAACCCCCTGCTCAGGCAGGAAACCCTATACCATTTCAGACAAATGGCTGTCCAGTCTTCCGAAGACAATTAGATCACTGTCACGGTTAGGCTAAGCTGGATCATAGAATGATAGGGCTGAAAGGGACCTTGGAGGTCTTCTAGACCTACCCCCTGCTCAAGGCAGGAATCCTCATATAGGAAGTCCTTGACTTTCAACCGTTCATTTAGTGACCGTTCAAAGTTAACAACGGCGCTGGGAAAAGTGACTTTTGACCGTTTTTCACAGTTGCGGCCTTTGTAGCGTCCCCAGGATCATGTGATCAGCATTCAGATAGGTTCGTATTGATGACCGCGGCTGTGCCCCAAGATCA